AAAGTCAAACAAGGGAGTAGCTTTTCTCTCTGTGCAGCAGCAGTGGCACCAACAGTCGACAGTCAGTGGCAGTTACCAGTAGGCGAAAAGGGGGGTTGAGTTTGGGGGTTGGGGTTGGGGTTGGGGGTGGGGCTGGGCGATTGGCGAAAGGGGGCATAAAATTCATTGTTATGGTTACTGGGCATAAGTCAGTCAGTCGGTGAGGAGTCGGAGTGTCGGAGGCCCGGAGTCGCAGTCGCAGTCTTCTGGCCCTCATTTCGTTAATCAGGCCTGAGTAAGTCAGTCCAGCGCACATGATACTTATTACACATGCTACTTACACCAGCACGAAAGGGGATGGAAGCAGTCGTCGTCGTTCATCCACTTGGGCTGAATTCCATTATAACCCAAGGGTGCACTCGGCCAGATTGGGTTGGTCAAAGGATTTTGGACCGTGCCTTTCCTCAGGCGAGGGATCGGTGTACAGTGCGTGCCGGGGGTGTAGGCCGGTTATTCGGGGATCTTGGGCAGAGGCTACGAATTTCTTGTGGAACAATAGGAGGAAATCTCTCACCGGTAATGGGAATTTTGAAGTAAGACAATGGAGCAAAACCCCCCTACCAGGCCATAGAAATCAATGGACCAAACAATGGTCATGGTAATTAAATTCTACAGCTTTGATTGCTCCTTTAAACTTCAAGAAAAGAGGTCCTTGGAAATATAAGCAACAAGACAAGTGGGACTTACTTAAATATGAGTCCAAGAGGACTGGGCCTAGCTGCATGGTCCGCACTGTAGCCTCCCCCCGGAAAAATCATCCCCCTGGCCTGTTTCTGTTTTATGTGTGCGCGCATTTCCCATTTTCTTTGCTCGTTTCGATTTCGTTACATAGACACTTTCGCTTTATGGTTTTCCTTACTTTTACTTTTGATTTACGCCTTCTAAAGATCATCGTTATGTCTCTTTCCACAGCTCACTATCCCTATCTCTCTCTGCCCCACTCTCTCTCTGTCTCGCTCTTTCTCTCTCTCCCTGTCTATCTTTTGCCCTCTCTGTCGTTGATATGAGATGTGTTTTTTTTGTATAGTGTGTGTTTGAACCCGAGTCCAAACCCTGGAAAGTGCCAAGCCAAAAGAAAAACCAAATATCTATCTGAGAAAAAAACACCCAGAAATCCAAAAGTAAATGCCTCACTTAAAGATTGACCTCTGCTAATTCAAATGTTAAAACTCTGCCAATTTGGACCCAACATCCCAACAGAACTCACGCCAACCAAACCAAAATAAATTATATATCTATACTGTGCCAATTGTGAACGTAATGCAAAAATCTGCCTCTGCCTCTCACCAAAATCACCTTAAAACTAAAACAGCAAAAAAATACAATGCGCAATGCGAATCTTCATGCCAAACAAAATGTTAAGCAATTTTCAAAAAGACAGCAAAAACAGCTAAAAGTGAAACACGCCAAAAGCACAGGACACGAATAAACACCAAGTCACGATCACGATCACGAGTTCACCAAAGTCACTTAAGTCACGAATCACCAAAAGTCACCAAAGTCACGAATCAGCATCAAATTAGCAAATGCCGAAAATAACTTCACACACGCCAGCACACTTTGAAAACCAGTAATCCCAAATTAAATCCCATCCCGATTTTATTCTGGAAATCTCTGATGAGGCTTAGCAATCCTTATAATACGTTTTAAAGTAAATGTTATTTGCTATTTATTTATAAATAATATTTCACTAATAAACCATAATCTTATATCTGTTAAATCAAAGCTAAATCAAAAATGAAATCTTACTCGGATTAAATTCGAAACTTAAGAGAATTTATATAATATTTGTAATGAATTGTCATGTAATAAACCATTTTCATTTAATTTTTCCTCAAAATTAGGTTGCATACTAAAATATTTTAAAGATATGGTATACATGATTTTATTTTCATTGGATTTTAGGTTCCAATTATTAAAATTAGTAAATTTATATATCTTATTTCAAAAAGTTGAATCTAGTTTAATCGAAAATACTCAGAATAATATTAAACAAACAAGGTGTGGTTCACGGAGATTTCTGGGCGCCCTAATGACTAAATTAGTTTCCAATCTCACACTCTGTCTCGGTCTCACAATCACGCTCTATCTCTCTCTGTCACGTTACCTCACAATCACTCCGTCTCTATCCAAAAACCCGAAGCCCACGCTCTATCTCTCTCCACTCACTTGGGAATGGCCAATTAAATCGCCGTCAGCTGCCAAAACTAAAAAACCCCTATTTCTCTCTCTGTATTGCATAAGTACACTCAAAGTAAAACGAAGTTAATTTAATACCAACAACTAAAGCAAAATAAATTGAACTAAAAGAAACCTAAATAAACCTACTCACTATCTATCTCTCTCTCTCGATCACTCAATCACGGATTCACTTACTCACCAAAAAAACAAACTCTGTCTGTCTCTATCTCTCTCACGCAATCTCACGACCCACCCCACAAAAAAAATGCAAAATGCAAAAAAAGAAAAGCAAACGAAAAGCAAGCGTAACCAAAACAAAATAAACAAGATAATAAACCACACTCTCTATATTTATATACATGTATGTATCTCTGTCAGCTTTAAGTATATCGTATATCGTATATATAACAAGAAAGTAAACCGAATCAGCAAAGAAATAAACCGCAACCAACAAACAACTCCAAACTCGAAACCAAAAACTTTAAACTACAAGATACAAGATACAAACGCCAGACTCCACAGCAACAATAACCAGTTAAACAACAACAACAGAGATCCAACAGAAACAAAGCAAACTATATCCGTACCACATCTATATCTTTATATAACTAATAGCTAGATGTATGCTCTCAGTCCCAGATGTAATTGACCTCGTTACGATTTTGTGTTTCAAAATTATCCAGAGCCGAAGAACATTTAAGATCCCAAATACTTGTTATAACTAAATCAAAATTGTAAAGCTAAAAAAACGAAAAAAAATGTGGTAGAGCTAAAATAAAATAAAACCACCTGAAAGTATGGCCAGAGCCCAGATAGATTTGTGCTAATTAAATACATACATATATTTTATCTGGACTGCTAAATTATACTAAAACGATATATAAAATCAAAACATATTTAAGCCAAGAACCCAGCTTTGAAGCGCTACCTGTCTCTCTTTGCCACACACACTCTCTCTCTCTCACTCTCTCAGTTAATATAATACGCCTATATATAATATATATGTATCTCTCTCGCTCTCTATGTCTGTTTGTCTCACTCTAACTTGTGTATTGTGTTTGATTTTACCTAAAAACTAGATTAAACGTAAACCGATTTTCAACCATCTTATATAAGCAGTTCTCGTACATTTTCGCCACATTCAATTAAATTCAATCCAACTCAATTCAATTTTAAACTCAAACTCACCTAGATTTTTCACCACGTATTACCTAATTCAATTAACATTCAACTACTTATATATTCAATTTGTTTTTATATTGTACTCACTCTCACTCGATCTCACTCTATCTCTGTTTCGCTCGCTCTCGCGTTCTCAACTTCACCACTCTACCACACCACCACTCTGTCACTCTGCCACCAAAGACACCACTCAGATCACAGATCACGACTCACAACTCACCACCAAGTGGCACCCAAGTTTAAGAACTCACCACGATCACAGACCACTGATCACTGATCACTAATCACTGATCACTGCAGTATTCAGTATTCACCTTTTAAAGTATGTCTCTCACCACAGCTCAGCTCACGAAACTCACCTCGCTAAAGCCGCCACAAACGAACCACCACTCCAAATTTCAATTCAACCACTGAACCACTCACTTAACCACTCAGCCAATCAATCTGCATTCGATTCTAAATCAAATCAATTCTGAACCAAGCCATTATCGAAATTTCACAGGTCTCTCTCCCTCTTAACTCTGTGTTTTCTTTTGATTTTTCAGCCATAACTAGTCAAACAGTCAGTCAGTCAGTCAGTTAGTCGAGCGATAACATTTTGATAAATATCGATTAAGTGGTCATCGTTAAAATCTTATCTATCAGTCCATACAATTCCAATTCGATTATGAAATCTGCAGCGAACTTTGATTGACTTTAGCAAAAACTCATACATGGCGGCCATAAATTGGTCAGTTTTTCTTCTCCGAAAAAAGTACTCATCTCTATTGATCTGTAAATTATAAATCCGCCTCAAATGCAAAAAAAAAAAACAATAGAAAATGAAATCCGAAATTTGCATTCCCAGCAGTTCAATCACTTTTCGTTTCTCTCACACCTCTCTCTATCTCTTTCTATCTCTTGCTCACACACATTAAACTTATTTTATTGTTTCCCTGAGTTTTGTTTTGAAACCAGAAAAGAAAGGAATGTTTAAGCTAGCTGAGGAAGTTGAAACAATTGCTGTGACACCTTACTATACTTACCTGCCATAAGAAAAACAAAAGCAAAACCGAGATGAATTCGAGAATTCTTCCAAAAAGCAAATTGTATTTATTTCGCATTAATCTTAAAACTACCCACTTCGCCTGCAACTTGAAGGATATATGTTCACAGAGATAAAACACGTAAAGTTGTATACAGCAAGATATAGCTTCAGGTTGCAGACGGATGGGAGGCCCCTCTATTTATTGATAAGTGAGTTAGCTAATTGTAAGGCCCCTTAAAAGCGGAAAAAAAAAATTGCTTATGAATGTACATAACCAGATATATAACCCCATATGATAAAGCACCCGAGAGCAGTCCTCTCGATTTCATTCAGAACAGACATGGCAAACGTTTTGCGTTCCAGAGAATTCTCTCATCATCCGTTTTCGTTTACCTCTTTTGGGTTACCTTTTGCGTTTGGACTTATGTAACTTAAACCACTGCCAAGACCTTCAATAATAATGTTCTCTCTCTTCGTCCCCACCGAAAAAACACGATTAAAACAACCACCCAACAAATCACACACAAAACACGATAACCACCGATAACGCTTCGATAACAACGGACAACAGGTGTCTCATGTCAAAATCGATTCACCTGTTTTTCGCCTGCACACCAACGCAACGGTTATATTACTGATCACATTCTCGATTGCTGTGACGACGCGGCAGTACGTAGGAAATCCCATAGACTGTGTACATACAAGGTGAGGTCGACTAATCGATTATTTCGATAGCTCCCCGATTAATGCGATTTTTGTCGATTGCAGAGACATTCCCGAAGATGTTCTCAACACATATTGTTGGATACACTCAACGTATACAGTGGTCGATGCGTTTATGAAGAAGCAAGGTTCCGAGGTGCCTTTTCCCGGAGTTCACAATTCACAGGGCCGCGGGCCTCTAACAATAAAGCACACAAAATATTATCAATGGGTAGCGTTTACACTATTTTTTCAGGTAAGTAATGCATAATAATTAAAATTATAAATACGGAATTAAAAGCGAACAAATCACACCTAAGAACTATTGTCACGATAGAGCTTGGAAACAACTTGTTACCAAAATAGTCTCTCTATGGTCTTTGTTCGGGGATATTCTGTTATTTTTTCTACTATCATAAAGATTTTAAAATTCATATAGAAAGGCATTAAGACGAACTAAAAAAAATAAAAAATAAATAATCAAATAAATTCAATCGGAAAACTGTGGAAATCCTTCGCATCCTGCTTCAACTTTTCAACCGCAAACTGATGTTGCCTGTAAAGTGGCGCCACTTATCAACACACTTACTAATCTCCCCTGCATAGGTGGCGCCACTTTTCTACACATTTTTAACTTTCCATGCATAGGTGGCGCCAGTTTTCTACATAGATGGCGCCCATCTTTCGAAGCATTTACTTCGTTCCTCTGCATTGGCGCCACCTTTTTTAACTATTTACTCATTTCCCCCGTATAGATGGCGCAACGCACCATTCTTTTTTTCTTGCAAAAATAATAATAATTTAGCAAAAATAGCAGGCTATATGATATAGTCGAACCATTTTTATAAAACTAAATACGTAATTCGAAAATCGTTAGAAATGACTATGCCTCGGAGTATATGGACATCAAAACATTTTATACACTTTATTTCCCATTTTTTCCGGATTGTTCTAATGGGAGCTATCCGATATAGTACGCCAATCCGGCCCGCTCCGATTTATATACAGCTGCGACAGAAGGAATCTAAATAGCTTTCAAACTGATAGACAAGAAAAATCAGACAAGCTTTAACGTTAAAACGACAAATTTGCAGATAAATGGCTTTGCATATAAGTGACCAAAAGCATACACTTCTAAGCCCATAACTTTTCGTACAGACATCCGATTGCAAAGTGGCATACTTCAAAATGATTGTGGCTAAATTCTCTAAACATCTATGATCTCACTTCATTTTTTATTTTTTGGTCGATCTTTCGTCATTTTCAACGCTTTGCAGAAAAGTGACCTAATTCATGCACTTCCAAGCCCATAACTTGTCTTATAGTCATCCGAATTTAAGGTGGCATGTCTCAAAATGATTGTGGTTTAATTCTCTAAACATCTGTGTACTCACTTTATTTTTTATTTTTTGGTCGATTTTTCGTCATTTTCAACGATGTAACCTCTTTCCAAATTTTCGAAAAATGGCTTTGCAGAAAAGTGACCTAAATCATGCACTTCCAAGCCCATATCTTGTCTTATAGTCATCCGAATTTAAAGTGGCATGTCTCAAAGTGATTGTGGTTTAATTCTCTAAACATCTGTGCACTCACTTTTTTTTTTATTTTTGGTCGATTTTTCGTCATTTTCAACGATGTAACCTCTTTCCAAATTTTCGAAAAATGGCTTTGCAGAAAAGTGACCTAAATCATGCACTTCCAAGCCCATATCTTGTCTTATAGTCATCCGAATTTAAAGTGGCATGTCTCAAAATGATTGTGGTTTAATTCTCTAAACATCTGTGCACTCACTTTTTTTTTTATTTTTGGTCGATTTTTCGTCATTTTCAACGATGTAACCTCTTTCCAAATTTTCGAAAAATGGCTTTGCAGAAAAGTGACCTAAATCATGCACTTCCAAGCCCATATCTTGTCTTATAGTCATCCGAATTTAAAGTGGCATGTCTCAAAGTGATTGTGGTTTAATTCTCTAAACATCTGTGCACTCACTTTTTTTTTTATTTTTGGTCGATTTTTCGTCATTTTCAACGATGTAACCTCTTTCCGAATTTTCAAAAAATTGCTTTGCAGAAAAGTGACCTAAATCATGCACTTCCAAGCCCATAACTTGTCTTATAGTCATCGGAATTCAAAGTGCCATGTCTCAAAGTGATTGTGGTTTAATTCTCTAAACATCTGTGTACTCCCTTTATTTTTTATTTTTTGGTCGATTTTTCGTCATTTTCAACGATGTAACCTCTTTCCAAATTTTCGAAAAATAGCTTTGCACAAAAGTGACCTAAATTCTGCACTTCCAAGCCCACAACTTATCCAATAGTCATCCGAATTAAAAGTGGCATACCTCAAAATGATTGTTGTTAAATTCTCTAAACATCTGTGTACTCACTGTATTTTTTATTTTTTGGTCGATTTTTCGTCATTTTCAACGATGTAACCTCTTTCCAAATTTTCGAAAAATGGCTTTGCAGAAAAGTGACCTAAATCTTGCACTTCCAAGCCCATAACTTGTCTTATAGTCATCCGAATTTAAAGTGGCATGTCTCAAAATGATTGTGGTTTAATTCTCTAAACATCTGTGTACTCACTTTTTTTTTTATTTTTGGTCGATTTTTCGTCATTTTCAACGATGTAACCTCTTTCCAAATTTTCGAAAAATGGCTTTGCAGAAAAGGGACCTAAATCATGCACTTCCAAGCCCATAACTTGTCTTATAGTCATCCGAATTTAAAGAGGCATGTCTCAAAATGATTGTGGTTTAATTCTCTAAACATCTGTGTACTCACTTTTTTTTTTTTTTGGTCGATTTTTCGTCATTTTCAACGATGTAACCTCTTTCCAAATTTTCGAAAAATGGCTTTGCAGAAAAGTGACCTAATTCATGCACTTCCAAGCCCATAACTTTTCATATAGTCATCCGAATTTGAAGGGGCATGTCTCAAAATGATTGTGGTTTAATTCTCTAAACATCTGTGTACTCACTTTATTTTTTTTTTTTTGGTCGATTTTTCGTCATTTTCAACGATGTAACCTCTTTCCAAATTTTCGAAAAATGGATTTGCAGAAAAGTGACCTAAATCATGCACTTCCAAGCCCATAACTTGTCTTATAGTCATCCGAATTTAAAGTGGCATGTCCCAAAGTGATTGTGGTTTAATTCTCTAAACATCTGTGTACTCCCTTTATTTTTTATTTTTTGGTCGATTTTTCGTCATTTTCAACGATGTAACCTCTTTCCAAATTTTCGAAAAATGGCTTTGCAGAAAAGTGACCTAAATCATGCACTTTCAAGCCCATAACTTGTCTTATAGTCATCCGAATTTAAAGTGGCATGTCTCAAAATGATTGTGGTTTAATTCTCTAAACATCTGTGTTCTCACTTTGTTTTTTATTTTTTGCTCGATTTTTCGTCATTTTCAACCTCTTTCCAAATTTTCGAAAAATGGCTTAGCAGAAAAGTGACCTAAATCATGCACTTCCAAGCCCATAACTTGTCTTATAGTCATCCGAATTTAAAGTGGCATGTCTCAAAATGATTGTGGTTTAATTCTCTAAACATCTGTTTACTCACTTTATTTTTTATTTTTGGTCGATTTTTCGTCATTTTCAACGATGTAACCTCCTTCCAAATTTTCGAAAAATGGCTTTGCAGAAAAGAGACATAAAACCTGTCCTTCTAAGCCCATAACATTTATAACAGACATTCGATTTTATTTTGTTGAGTTAACCAATTTCAAGTCCTAATGTCAATAATCCGCTAGTTTCCCCGTGCAGATAGAGCCAATGGGCGAACTCGTCTAGCCGATCCCTGGGGTAAATTGGGTGTGGGGTCACCAACAATCAGCCACCAGCAACTGGCAACAATGACCTTTCGCACTTTTCGAGGCGTTGTCTCTTTTGTTGGCCTGCGAAACCGTAGAATCGAGTAAATGATGCATTAATGCGGCACAGACGCTGCAGTTGCTCCCTTCCCATGTTGCATGTTGCTGCGGGGCAGCGATATTGCCGTTGCTGTTGGTGTACCGGAAAAAGTAGCAAGAACTATTTTGGGACGCGCTTTCTCCAGTTTTTCCAGCTCTATGCGCTCTGTTATTATATTTTGTCTGCGCTATTTTTGTTAAAAACGAACAAAAAAAATAACAACACACACAGAATGCAATCGCTTGACCCCGTTTAAACCCAAAACCGATGGGCGGGGCCCCGCATTTTCCCCCCAGTTTTCCATGCCCGATTTGCCCCAAACTCTTCCCAATACGAACGTGAACGTCTTTTATCAATTTTATGCGCAGTGTGCTTGATATTTCCATTAATTTTATTTATTTACGCCACCGTCCCGCTGGGCGACCGGGTGCTGAAAAAATTATAATTTATGTGGCGAGTGTGGTTGAAGGGGGTGGCCAGCCCCCAATTCCCACTCCCCACTCCCCTCCCCCTTTCCCGTTTCCCCTTTCCCCACCTGCCTCCTCTGGGGAATACCCAAAAAAAAAAAATACAAGGAATATATACAAGAGCTCGTTAAAGCGCTCTTGATATCCAATCTTACAAATCATATTTCTTTCCGATCGCAACAAGAACTGACGCAACCATTTGACATCGCTCATAAAATCCGCGTGTGCGGTTCCCTGTCGATCATAAAATCATAAAGATAAAGATGAAAATATGAAGATCGGGAGTCCCAGAGGGGATGGTGCGCCAACAAACCATCGGGCAGTCCATCAAAGTGTTTGTCGGAAACGAGAAACTACATGAAAGTGGCCGGGGCATCGGCTCCCCAGATCTTCATCTGCCCAATAACCACAAGTTTTATGGGATCACTATTCCTTTGTATCTGATTCGCTTTCGGCATGTTTCTGCCAAAGGAACATCTTAATTCGCTTTATTGTACGTTTTTATATTCTGCATTGAAAGAAATATGTGTATTGTCTAGAAAATAAAACAGAAGTGAGCTGCTAGCTCCCAAGAATGCTTGAGAACATTATTAAAATTATATATTTAGTTGTAATTGTCTAAGAGAAATCATAAACCTAGAAATTTCAAGAAAATTAAAAATGTGAATGCAACATGGGCGTTGTGAAATTGTTATAGAAAAAACGCTTGTAATAGTCAGTATTACAGAAGTATAACAAAACGTCTGTATTATTAGCTAGGTACTTCTATTTCCATGCTCCTTGACATTTATATCAACTTGTGATTTTATAGTTTACCTGCAAACTCCTCTAGTGAAACCCTGAATTCTGCAATAACCTCCAAGTACGAGAG